ACACACATACACATATATGAATACAAAATGAAAATTCTTTTAACTGCATGTGATTTCTGATTTCTGATTTCTGAAATCACAGTCAGCCATCCTCACCCGGTCACACATGTTGTCCTCAGTGCCTGACACAAACAGTACAGGCATGCGTTCAGGTAGCCCCCTGAGATCTTCACTGCGCTGCCGATGGGCGTGTGTCTGTGCTGGGGGGTGCAGGGGGAAAGACAGACAGATGACACCCTGCACTGCGTCCTCTGGTTCATCACTCAGCTGCCTGGCTAAAGTTGCAGCTGCACGACTTCCCATTGACCTGCCTGTGGAGATAATACACTCAGTGAGTATCTCATGTTGTAGTCTTTTAACCCACATTATTGACAAGACCGCAACGTTTTTATAGTCAGATTTACGAACACTGAACATGATACTGATATTTTAAATTCTATATCTATTAAAGGTGCTTGTAGTTCTCAGGTGTTCACCAAGTAATGTTTAATATTTCTATTGTTGTGTTGTTCATTTAACTTCCGAAAGCACAGAAATGTGTTATTACTAAACATTCTACCTGTTAAGCATCAGTTGTAAGTGGTATTTTATTGCCTGCCTTGACTTATTGCTAGTTGGCTGTTACTGTAATGAAGAAGAAGAAGAAGAAGAAGAATATATACTTTATGTAATGCAACCACTCACACCACAGTATTCATGTGACACACGGTAAGCCTACTAGTGTTGCTTACCTCCAATGAATATGTGCTTTATGGTAAACTTCTGTAGGGATTTCAAGTAATCCTAGGGGGAAAACACAAGTGTGTGCAGCATCGTATTGATTCTGAACAGGCTTTAGTATCACAGAAACACTACAACAGTGACTGGTATGTCTTGAATAAATGAAAATGCTTACCCACACTGCACGGTAAGCCTTCACTCTATAACCCAAGTTTAAAGCTTTGCATGTGAAACGGAGACAAAGGCAGCCATCTGAAGCCAGCGCATGTGCCAAGGAAACCAGATGTTTGAAGTTCATGTCTCCACCCGCCCCATGTGTGAGAATGACGGCTGTATGAACATCTTTTACTGAGGCAGGGGAACACAAGGCAGCATCCAGATACTTTGTCCCAAATGGCACCTTCACCGTGTCCTGAAAGTGGGTGAGAAGTCGAGTGAGCACTATCTCTAGATTTTAACATCGGCTGTTCTCATCATGCATATTACGAACATCTGTGGAAAGTGATTCAAAACGGTGTCATAATGAGTGTTTTGAAGTCCAAACAAGTTTTGATTGAATAAAAGATAGGCACACTTAACATCCCATATCACACAACCACCACAGATGTTCTATGTTTGAGCCTAATTTTATGAAATGTTAACCAGTAGTGGAACAAGTAAATAAATGCCACACTGTGAAAACTATGTTTACAAGTCAGTCCTGCATTCAAAATCTTAGTAAAAGTACAGAAGTATTAGCATACAAATAAGTATCAAAAGTGAAAGTAACCTTTATGCAGTATGGCATATTTATATAATACATCGAAATTCATAATTTGATTATTAAATATGTTGTCAAATAAATGGAGTGGAGTGAAAGGTAGAGTATTTGCCTCAGTACTAGGAGTGTAAGCATGAAGTAGCATGAAATGGAAACACTCAACTAAAGTACAACCTCAACGCTGGACTTAGGTACAGTTCTTGAGTAAAGTACTAAGTTACATCAGCCAGTGCAGTTGGTATAGCTAATTAAAATGTGTGGTCTTATTATTAATAACTTCAATAATTCATTGTGGAGAGAAGCTAATAAAGTCTAGCTCTTACTATGTTATGTGTCTTTTAGTACCCAGTGTGTTTCAACTCTCCCTGGTTAGAGCGCCTCTTATAGTTCATTTAAACTCTAACTCTGATTCATATCGTGTCTTGTTTCAGGCAATTTGCAGTTGTTAATGTTAAATATTTACCTCCTCCAAGCTGTCCATAACGAGGTGTTTCTTCTCTGACTCCCCCAACAGTGGAGAGTCACTGTTTGTCACTGCCACCTACTGTTTAGGAGTGGTCATTACAGCTTTACTAACTGACTGGACTGGGAATAGCAGTGGAGGAGCAAGTACTCAGATCTTTTACTTGAGTAAAAGTACTAATACCACACTGCACAAATACTCCACATGTAAACCTATGTTGAAAATATCACTTGAGTTAAATTATGTTAGTATAATCATGAAAATGTACTTTAGTAAAAGGCTCCTGTGACTGATATTTCATTAGATTATTATTACCTGTGCATTAATACACATTTTTTTTATTTTTTTTATTGTTGTATTTGGCACAATTTGCACTGCAACTAATGATTATTTTAAATATGGATTAATCTGCTGATTCTGAAAAGTGATAAATGCTTGGTTTGTCCAACCAATAGTACAAACTTTATTAAGAAGGAAAAGCAACAAATCCTCACACTTGAGAAGCAATGTGTTTGCATGAAAAATTATTAAATTACTAATATACAGTTGTACTTGTATATACTGTTGGGTAGTTTTAATTCATAACAGAACATTCTATTATATAAGCTCTTTGTATGTTTTGTGATAAAATATATTAATTCATAAAGTACCAAAGCGGTCAGATAGAGTAGAAGTATGAAGTAACATGAAAATAAAATACTAAAGTAAAGTACAAGTACCTCAAAATCATACTTAAGTACAGTACTTTGGTTAAATTCCACCACTGAGGCACAGAACAGCAGCCTTTGTCTGACACTTCAGTTTGTGTTTGTGTGTATGTGTGTTAGTGTATGACACAAAAGTTAAATAAAATAATAATATTCTCTTTCAACATACAAAAGACGAATATTTATTTTAAAAAACAACATAATGTGATATTTATAACATAGTCATATAATTAATCCACACTCAAATATTTGGCAGTATATCAGATATGAAGGCTTGCTCCGTAACTGGACGACAGGTCAATCAAAGTTCATCCTTTGCCTGAAAAAAAACAAAACAAAATCATGTTAGGATCAGAAGGAGGGGTGTTGTAGGAAGAAGTGTGTGCCATCAGGAACAAAAACATATTATTTGTAAAATCCAAAATGTACAACTTGTTTAGTTTAAACGTTCACTCATTCAGACATGTATATTCAGTTTGTAGGTCAAATAGAAACATGCATTGAACTTTTTAGATTACAGTTTAGTGCTTTAATCGTATTTAAAGCTCCCACTTTGGCCACCCACACAGGGTTTTTTACGTATGCTGTCAGTTTAAACCTCTGATCAGTGTGGATCTATACAAACTACCCTTGTATGACATCTCTCTCACTCTCCTGGGAGTTTTGTTGCACCGGTTAGGGCCTGACAATTTACACTGCTTACACTTGTGTGTAGAGTTTGGTGACATACCGTAATTGCAAGCAATCCTCCACCCACCTCCAACCTATACGTCTAATCAGCCACAGTAATTGAAAACACTTGTGTGGGTGTTCAGGGCTTTTAATATGTTAGTGCTGTTTTTATCTTCAACTGACATTAATTAAGGTGAAGTGACACTTACACATACACTAGAGGGAGCCACACTCTGTAGAGTGCTATGGGCTCTCTCGAGGATGAGTGATACCATAGTTTAAACATTAATATCAGTAATCTTTTTGCAATTATTATTATTTCCAATGAAAAGCTTAAACCCACCAATATATTTGCAACAGTAAGAGGCTAGCGGTTTGTTTTTCAGGAAGACGCCTGCATCTACAACGCTAGATGCCACTAAATCCTACACACTGGACCTTTAACCAATACAACAAGAAAAGCCCCAAAATATAGCCTAAAAGGTCAGTGAAGCGGCTCTGGATCTCATGTTGACAGACGTAAGGTATTTCTAACTATTGAAAACAGGTGACGTGAACATACTAGTTGTTGTTTTTTCATATATCCGCATGTGTCCAGATTCATTATAGCTCCTATTTTGCCTTTCAGTTCTACCTCTTTGTTAGGCAAACCAAAGTTGTGCTACATCCATGTTTAACAGTTTTAATCTTTATCCACTGGCCACTTGACCCAGACCACCTGTATAGTGTTATAGTGTAAAGAGAGTATAGTGTAGAGTAGAGTTGTCTTAAGTGTAGTATCTTTGAAAAAAATGCAAGTTTCGGATTTACAATATTATTAAAGTACAATACAAAGTTTAAAGTCACTCTGATGAGAGGGAAACTGAACGGTGTCCCTAACCCTCGTCCTGTGGCAGGAACATGGGAACAGGTCATCACTGGGCTGCTCTACGAGCTCCATGCCTTCACGAATGTTGGGCTCTGTGACCTGGCGTTTGGCATACTCCTACAAGAAGAACAAAGTTACAAAGAGAATAATGACAGGGAAGGGAAGTACATCCTGATATCAAATATGGAATCCGATCAGATTCCTGCGTGATGTGTAAACATTATATCAGGAGTAACATAATAACACAAAACTGAGCCAATAGAATATACTTTGACCCCCGTATGACTGTATGAGGATCAGGCCCACAGCAGATTTTAGACTAACAGAGAAAGTTAGTGGCAGGGTGTGAAACTATGTCAAACATTCGACTGCTGAGGAACTGAGGAGGCGCCATTTGTCAACACAGATTACTTACTTAGACTTTCATTCTAGACCACCGCTTAAAAACAAATCTGTTTGGGTCTGATGATGAGGGAGCACGGCAATATGTTATTATACTACTGCTGATGCTACTTTTTGTAGTATTTGAGTTTTTCAACGTATCAAGTCATATATTATGTGCAACTGTAGAAACAGTACCTGGAAAAGTTTGTAGTAGTAACAAAATACTCTGTCTCCCATAAGATGACTGCGGGCAAACTGCTGACCCGCCAGTGCAATTCTCTTAACCTGAGAGACAGAAAGAAACAAAACAACAAAATGTTACAAAGTTGTTTCTGTTAATTCTTAAAGAGAACAACAAATAAGGACAAAACAATCAATAGAATGAATTACAGCACGTTTTAATGCCAAATGCCCACAGTCCTTATCACCATCACCTCTTCATCGTGGTCACGAGCCCACTGGATCTTTTCCAGCAGGTCTCCGAGGTCCGCCCTGATTGGGATGTAGTGTTCCCATGGCCGAAGCTCGTTGTAGAAATGTTCGTAGTAGCTAGAATCCTGTTTTAAGACCACGCTGTCTCCTGCCAACAGGTAAGGCAGCCGATACGCTGCCACGGTGCCGTCAATGTTTATTTGGTACTTGTACTGGTGAAGGACATGGAATAGAAAAAATGACTTTGTTCAAAATTAAGTTCTGAAAAAACTGCTTAGTAGTGCCAGTTAGAATGAAGAGAGAAGAGTAATATCATACTGAATTGCATATAGAGTTAAGTCTTGGCATGCTATGGCTGATTAAGTTATGTGGTAATGTCTTAGCAAACAATTGTAAATACACCTGTAGAGCACAGAGATGATGTACATAGGTCCAGTATTCACTGGCTCTAAAGCATTATTTGGTCCATCATCTCCTGAGAAGAATATCTGGATCTGTACTTTCCTCACCAGACATGAGTTTACTTATGCTCTCTGCTCTTTTGTGCTATGCAATTTGGAGACACTCAGCTTTTTATGCCTTCCTATGGTTGTAAGAAAAATAACTGAAAGCTGCAAACTGCTGCAGAGTTAAGTGTTAAGTGTTAATCCATAATGGTTCTGGCAGTACTAGCATCACCTGTATATTACACGTTATTATTTGTTTCACAGATATGATCAAAAGATCAGCCTCTCTCACCTTGAAAAAGTCAAAGAAAGAAACATGTTTGACCAGCGGCCCATAAAGGCTCTCATCGTGTTTGAAGAAGAAGAAGTTGGTGAAGGCAGCATCTATCATGTTGGGGTGAGCCCTTGAGAGCTTGACCAGCTCCAGACGTTCCTGGCGACTGTCGCGGCCCCTCCAGAAGGCTGTGGTGTTCTTCTCTGGCCATGGTGGCCCTGTGTTGGCTTGCACTGACATCATGTCCAGACTTACTCTGTTAATTGGATGCACAGTGTGTTGTTAATCTCAGCATCTGTCAACAGTGTGGACTCATGGATAATGACGTGCAGATTCACCACATTATGACAGTAATTAGAGCCTCAGTCGTGCATAATACTCACAGCAAGGATTGACTTACTGTCAGCGCTGCCCCAGTGCCTACAGATAATTGGTAGCCTGGTACACATACTTTGAAAAACTGCTTTACCAGTTAATTATTGAAGTAAACAAAATATAGTGTTGCCATGCAGTGATCAGCAGCTACAGATGACACTGGATACACCTGGTGAGCCAGTATCACTCATTACAAGGTGAGAATTTCTGCAGGGCAAAAAGTAAATGTATACGTGATATTTATACAATGTTTTGCTGGCTCAATCTAAATGTAAAAGGAAATATTTGCTGGCAAAACTTTTTTGTTGTCACACACCAATTTGGCTACCTTGCACTGCATAAAAATCCATGAAGCAACACTGAGGAAATAATGAGCGTCCTGACTTTATTTAGGTTACATTATTCAGTGTGGACTGTGACAGTGTCATCGGGCAGTCTGTATACACAAGCTTACTTATTACTGTCATCCCCTTGGGGAAGAAGAGCCTCCTGTAAATCATCTCTATGACAATGATATAAAATCTTTCTACTGCAGGACTGCAACGTGTCCCGTCCTCCACTGAGAAGCACGCTTAAAAATTGCCTACAGGCAGTGAAGAGTACTTAAAGGATAACATTTTCAGTATTCCTGAAGTAGTTCCTTTAAGCGTGCCCTGGTGTAATTGGTGCTTTGGTAGACTTGCACACTCTGTAGACACTTACACAGACTTAATAATAACTTGTTAAGATGAACAGACATACCTTCCCATGGTCTCAAGGACAGACTCAGTCAGGTCATAGGTGGGCATGACAATATCTCTGGTATTGTTAGAGCCACACCATGAAAAGATAGGATGAATCTTCTCCGTGGGTTTCCTCTTCTCCAACGGCCAGTCACCCAGGTTAACAAAAAACTCCATATCAG